AGATGACATTACTATTTTTTTTATTAACTCATATAATGATTAAATAAAAATTTTAACCATTAAAAAATATAAAATATAGGTTTTATCGTATAACTGTCTCATAGTAAAATTTTCAGTTTGTTATATTCTAAACTAAGGTTGAAATTTTTTTTATGTGTAATTTAAACACACAAAAAAATTTTCTACCGAAAACATTACTAACTTCAAGTAACAACAGGGATTTGTTTAACAGATACAAAAAAATGTATATGTAATATCAAAATAAAATGTCCGTCCCTATAAAATTTGCACCCGATCGTTATAAAATATACTAGTTACTCGCCCCGGCTTCGCACGGGTGTTCAATATATATATAAACCTTCCTCTTGAATCACTCTATCTATTTAAAAAACCGCTTCAAAATCCGTTGCATAGTTTTAAAGATTTAAGCATACATAGGGACAGACAACGACAGCGACTTTGTTTTACACTATGTAACTAGCTATTCGCCCCGGCTTCGCACGTACGTGTATTATATATATAAAACTTCCTCTTGAATCACTCTATCTATTAAAAAACCGCTAAAAATTCGTTGCGTAGTTTTAAAGATTTACGCATACATAAGGACGGACAACGACAGCGACTTTGTTTTATACTATGTAACTAGCGACTCGGCTTCGCACGTACGTGTATTATTATATATATATATATAAAAAATTCCTCTTGAATCACTCTATCTATTAAATAAACCGCTTGAAATTCGTTGCGTAGTATTAAAGATTTAATCATACATAGGGACGGACAGACAGCGACAGCGATTTTGTTTTATACTATGATGATAATGAAGCTGGTCCAAATGAGTGGTAGATTAAAAATCTATTCTAAAATGCTTATCATTTATTTGTTGTTATATATATATATTCCTATTGTAAGGGTGTCAACAGATAAACATCTAATAACTTAATACACAATAACAAGCGCAGCTGTACCCCGAGAATATTCAAACCATAATTTTGTGTATTTCTCATTTTGTTTATCGCAAAGCAACTGTAGAGCGAAGCAAATAAAAACAATTGCTCATTTCGACGAGCTCCGTAGCCTGGAGATGGGGCGCGCCCCACTGCTGCCTCGTGTTAATGATATTTCATTTTTCCCCATCTGTAGCTACTGACCGAGCCATCTTTTATTTGTATTTAACTCATTTAAATTGAAAATGTTTAGTACCTAATATCTACTGACAATAAGTTGCTCATTTACAATATATATATATATATATATATTTGACGACCTCGGTGGTCTAGCGGTTTAGCACACCGCTTTACGACCGATGGTCGCGGGTTCGATTCCTTGCACGGCACAAACATTTGTATTCATGAGTATGATTGTTTGTATCGGTCTGGGTGTTTTCTATATATAATATATATGTATTTACGAAAAAAAATTATCTATGTATTTGTATCTAGTTACCATAACACAAGCTTTAGTTAACTTAACTTGGGTCTAGATGGCGCTGTGTGAATTGTCCTGAGATTATTATTATTATTATTATTATTATTATATATTTTTTGTTTTACAATTGAGTTACCTAAAGGTAACTCAATTTTCACTACATACTATACAGTTTTTGAAGCTTGTTTTTAAGCATAGAATAGAATATAATAGAAAATCATTTATAAAAAAAAACCTTTTGTGAACTTTTTCTCTGAATTGCGTCGTGTTAACAATATTCATATCATTAATGATTTATTGTTGACTAGCTACTCGCCCTGACTTTACATGGATATATATGAATTATATATATAAACCTTTCTCTTGAATCATTCTCTCTATTAAAAAACAGCTTCAATATCTGTTGCGTAGTTTTAACGATTTAAGCATACATACGGACGGACAGAAAGCAACAGCGTGTGTAGCGAACTCCTTGATAAGTTTCTATACTATTTTTAAATTTTACAATAATACTAGCTTTTGCCCGCGGATTCACTCGCGTTAAGAGTTAGGTATTTTTGCGGCTTTACTTTTATTTAGAGTGTGTATATAGGAACAGACAAGACAGCAACTTAATTTTATACTATGTAATGATAATGAAGTTTATCTTCTTTTAAAACTTGTAGTTTTTATTTCAGTCCAATAGGCTCACTATATAATTATGTTAAAATCTTTGGCCCTCAATATTTATTACTGTTTGTTGCCAAAACAAAGAGAAAAAAAAACTTTCATATCTTTGTGGTTTAGTAATTCAATATACGATATTTACACAGTAATTAAATCCAAAAACATGAAGTAGTGCCTTATTGTATCTGATCAACGCAATGCTTGACAGGTAGAGAATATATTTTATAAATGTACAATTTTATGTGAAAAAGAAGATCTATACATATATATAAAATTGGAGTGTCTGTTTGTAATATTGAAATAACCGTTTTTTACTACATGCATATGAATATAAATACGGTACATACATCAAAATAACATATTTAACAATTTTTGTCTGTCTGACTATGTTTTTCTTCCGGCTAATCTCTGAAATGGTTGTACCGATTTTGACGGGACTGTTTTTGGCAGATAGCTGATGTAATCAGGAGTAACTTACGCTATTTTTATTTAAAAAAAATAAAGTTAAATTCCACGTGGACAAATTCGCGTGTAAAGTTACATCTAAAATGGAATACTCATTTAATGAAAGGTAGAACTCAATTCGAAGTTACAAGTCAATGTATCTTAACAAGCAAACTTTATAAAAACATGTCATTGATTATGTATTTGGGATAATTGGTTGATTTTATCGAATTAGCTGTTTATTTGAGGAAGTCAATTTTAAAAATATTCCACATCGCTGAACTGACAACACTAGGCTTCCAAGCTATTTTTAATAGATAGATATATATTAAAAATATATACTATATACGAGCTCTATTCAGTGCCTGATGACGCCTCATTTAGTGACGAAACACGTGTCGCAATATTAATTTAATTTAATTTAAATTTATTTATTCAGATAACAGAGATCCAATTTGTTAGTAACAATTGTACTTAGCCTATGTTAGTATATCTAAAATTACATATTATCATTTAAGGGCCCCCGTAACAATTTGGGTCCAAAAACAAAGTATTGGGCTATCAAATTTATTGCACAGCATTTTCAGAATGCTGTTACTGCTGCCCCGCAGTCTGTGCAATAGAGAAGCGATTCGTTTGCGTCTGATGGCATACAGGTCGTCTGTTGATGCTCCTGCAAACATTGTGGATGCACTACAAAAACGCGGCAAACGCAACAACATTCTGAAAACATTATTGTATTGAACTCGCAGAGCGCTGTATGCCTGCTGCGTATAGTTAACCCACAAGCTGCTCGTGTAGAAAGATTGACAGTAAGCTTTAAATAATGTTATTTTTACTTCAATCGAACAACGAGCGAACCTGCGAGACAACATATTGCCCCTTACAGCCAGCGCTCTGCGTTCACGTTCAATAACAGCGTTATATTTCAGGGCATCGGTAATAATATGTTCTAAATATGGCTACTCTATTAATAAGCACATCATACAATATAATCGGTGGAATTATAGTATTTTTACCACCTAAACCGAAAAACATAAATTCGCTTTTATTTGTGTTATATTTCAATATATATATATATATATATAAACATTTAACATTTTACGTAGCGCACTAATCGATGGACTCAGCAGCACCATGTCGTCAGCATAACTCAGATTATTAACGGCAATTCCATCTATGTAACAGCCAGCATGCATACTGCTAAGTTCAGCGATCAGGCTATTAATGTACACATTAAAAAGTGTGGGTGAGGATATACCACCTTGTCTCACCCCACACTCCAGTTTGTACTCATCTGAAAAACAATCCGCCCATTTAATAATGTTAATTTGGTTATCATACCAGTACTTAAATATTGTAACAAGTTCACTGGAAATATTTTGTCTCTGAAGCTTCTCCCACAGGATCTCATAAGATACCATATCAAAAGCTTTAGATAAATCCAAATAACAAGCTATTACAGGTGTTTTACGGTCTAAATAATACTTGACAGTGTGCTTCAAACAGTATATAGCAGTTTCAGTAGAAAGGCCAGGCTTAAAACCAAACTGAGCCTCATGTATACTAAGAGTATTTCTCAGATGCGAGTTTAATAGACTGTCAAATATTTTAGCCAAGATAGTAGCTAGTGAAATAGGGCGATAATTATTTTTTTCACATATATTACTTGCCGTACTCTTTACGACTGGTACAACAATAGTTCTCATGAGTTCCTGTGGTAGATAGCCATGGCCTAGGCACAGAGAATAAAACATAGCCAGTACTCTGGGCAGATGACAGCCTGCATTTTGAAGATGTTCAATACTTAAACCGTCATGACCAGGTGATTTGCCCCTTTCCATATTATTTATTATATTTTTGACATCTTTAGAGGTAACATGTATATTTCGATGTGAAACCCCAGAAAAAATATTATTTTCCACGGTTGATGGCGAAGGCAAGGATAACAAAGGCGAACTTAACTGAAAGTGATGTTTAAACAAGTTGGCAATTGTTTGTGGATCTTTTTCAGAATCAATATGCTCTGCAACTCTTAGTTTTATATTTTGTTTATTTGTACATTATATATTTAAATTGTTTCTCAGAACGATATACAGCCAACATATCCATTTTAGTCTGTTCAGAATGATCCTGGCACCATTTCAACCTGGATTTGTATATTTTACGACTGAGAACCATATTCTCATGTAAATAACCAGTTAACGGTCTACCATGCCAAACCCAATTTTGAAAGTGAAACTTGGCCTCATTATGTACACCCCTCACAAATCTGTTCCAGCCTGGTAATGGTTTTTTATTTTTCCATCTGTTACAATAAGTAGAATTATTACATTCAGAGGCTGACTTTTGTAAAATTGTTACAATATTAGTATACATTTTATCTAAAATTTTACGATGTTCTAAATTATGACAAATATTATCTGCACATACTTGGAATTCCCGCGGGAAATCTATGGTTTTTAAGCTATTATTACATGCAATACGGTAATTGTCAATTTGTTGAGTGTTCTGTCACCCCAAATTATTTTATTAGGAGTATGCATCTTTAATTTTGTCTTATATCTAACTAAACTAAAATTACATTCAATTTCCATAGGAAAATGATCCGACCAAAATACATCATACTGAATATTTACTTTAACTATAATATTACTGTTTAATTTTGTAGTAATGCAATGATCAAGCCAACGAAAACAACCATGACTATCACTGATAAAGGTGTAAGTACCTGAATTTAAGCCCAGATGCTCAATATCAGCGCATCTCCACTGCTGTTCCTCACTGAAATCCATAAGTTCCTTATAAAACAGACCTCCCGGGTGGGCGTTAAAATCACCCAATATAATAACTGACTCTGTCTCACTACCATCTATAATTGCATATATTTCACTTAAGCACTGCGTGAATTCAATTAGATTTTCAGTTGATTCCGTAGGCATATATACACAGATTATTAACACTGAGCACTCACTGTTTATCATAAACTTACAGGCGATTAAGCGGTCATTATCGCAATCCAGAAAAGTAACAGATGAAAAAGCGTTTTTTCGCCATAGAATAGCTACACCGCCGTAAGGTCTACCTCTTAGTATGCCGACTGATGTATCCACCGCAGACTTCCCAGTGTACGAGAAATCGTCACTTATTGTCCCCAACAAGGGAATATCATGAGGCAACAGCCAGGTTTCTTGAAGCGCAACTATGTCTCCCCTGTTGCATAGCGATCTTACACCTTCCAAAGAACGTTTCAACCCTTTGCAGTTGAAGCTCATTATTTTGCTATTTTTATTGTCGTATATTATTGTTGTTTATTAAGTATCGTGTCCGGTCGTCTATCCGCGGTCCCGTACTTCTTGTGTACAAACCGACGAAAAACAATACCCGCTGGCCACAGTGTTTCATTCAAAAATACAGACAATTTATATGTAGGTACAAAAAATTTGTAGGCATTATATTTGTTTTCATTTTTTATAGACAACTTAATAAGTGTCACTTGTTCTCCTGTTTTGTTGAGTATATAATCCACAATACTCCGTTCGGCAGTTTCTTTATGCACATTAGTTATATACATAGGTACTTTTTTATCCGCCGCCTTAAAATTTAACTCTCGGTCACAGACAGCCTTCCCTATTTTACCAGTGAAATGGTTTTTATTGCGTTTATGTTTCTTTACTAAGGTCCAATTTTCATTATTCTTATTTATATTATCTTTACGCACTATATCGGCCATAGATAACGTTTTCTTTAAGGTCACAGAATCACAATTACTCTTATTATCATTACATGTTGTCGGTGACTCAGGCGAGATGAGTACAATACTCGGCTGTGTGTTTAAAAGCGGTTGAACTACCTGCGAGTGGCAGGCGGCTTCGCCCGTATCTATGTATCCAGTATTCGAATCAGCTGATATATTTTGCGTAATTTCGGATTGCATTTTTCTGTTACTGCTGTCGTCTTGTTGTTGGAATTGACAACGGGCAGCAGAACTATCTATGTTAGCGGTACTGTTGCTATTGTTTAATAATAATCCCATCGGACCACTATCTAATTCACAATCATCACGATTAAAATACCCTCCTCTTCTTGTATTTATATTGCATTCAAAATTATTCACAATTGATGCTAATTTTATATTTTCTATCTCTGATCGTAATTGACTCACTTGTTCTATTGTCGCGTAATTAGTTTTCATTATTTTTAGCTCATTCTGCATTATAATTATATCCTTTAACAACCGTGTTACATCAATATGATCAAAGGTAACGGGGGGTAATCGGTGAAGTTCTTTCGCCACAAAAATTGGAATGTTTTCAGGATCCACCGCTTTCAGAGTACTAATAATATCTTGAATATTACGTTGACATTTTCTATCACCTTTCCTCGTTATTTTCTTAATTGAAGAAACAGAGTCGAACAGCAAATCCTTAGCCGCATCAATTTCCTTCTCCGTGAAGGTGTCTATGCACAATCGTGTTATGCTCTCTTCATCCATCACGTCGATTTTCGATTGAACGAAAGCCAGCACCTCGTTAATAACTATGTTGCAATGAACACATTTTACAGCAGTTGACATTGTCAACATTTAATTAATTAACGTACAAAAGATAAGAGCGCGTGCGCACCGTACGACGTCACGCAACGACTGATATTGTGTATATTCAATAAATGTTAGAATTTGATCACCAATAGAGAAGATCGTAACGCATTCAGTAGCGCTGGTCAGGTCTCGGCATACATGGACAGATATGTGATGGCGTGGTGGGCCGGGTCATTGGGCTCCCTAAGATATAGTCGAGCGCAGTGATGGCTGGCTCATCCGTCATATTGGTGAACGAGTGCTGCTTGTAGGGACTGGTCTGCTCTTATCACTACGACTGATTTAATCCTATTGTATATTTATATTTGACCCAAAAAAAATTGTGCTGGTTGGTAGTTTGTATTCACGCGTTTCGACTTGTAAATGTAAACTTACAAGGATTATTTAAAAGAGCAACACACAAGTTTCTTGCTCGTTCTTCTTGTGATGAGACAGCTTTCCGAACGAGCGGTAGATAAAAAAAAATTGTTATGACTATTCAAAAATGCTTAAATTAAGTTTATTTGAATAAATGATTTTCTATTCTATTCTATTCTAAATAGAAATAATATTTATTCAAATAAACTCAATACAATTGAATATTAGTGTGAAAGATGACATGGTGAGAAAGGGAGTAAATAACGAGATGACTGCGAACAGAGATGAATGGAAGAGAAAAACATATTACGTCGACCCGAAATATTAAAAATTTATTATATTTGGAAATTTTATTTTTATAATTAAGAAAATGAACTCCAATTCAAATGTAATAAACATCACATTGCGATGTATCCTACATTGCTTATGAGTAATTTCAACGTATGAATTTCGTGGATTCCTCGCAGGCGTGTTTAATCAAGCTCGTTTACCTTCGCTTATAAGTCGGGCCCCAAGGCTGGTTTATATGGCAACGAGACTCCTGTCATATATTAAATGCTGTATTGAGTGAACATTCACATACACAATACTTGATTAAGCAAAATTAGAATATATAAAAAAATCTATATGATCTTGTGTTTTTATACTACGCAAGGATACGGCCCATCTGATCCTAAAGTATATGGATCATGTTTTTTTTATACTACGCAAGCATACAGTCCATCTGATCCTAAAGTACATGGATCATGTTTTTTTTATACTACGCAAGCATACGGCCCATCTGATCCTAAAGTACATGGATCATGTTTTTTTTTATACTACGCAAGCATACGGCCCATCTGATCCTAAAGTACATGGATCATGTTTTTTTTATACTACGCAAGCATACGGCCCATCTGATCCTAAAGTATATGGATCATGTTTTTTTTATACTACGCAAGCATACGGCCCATCTGATACCATCAGATTGATTACCGTACCCTATGGACGCCTGAAACTACAGGGGTGTTATGCGCGTTGCCGACCCTTAAGAAACCTTAATATACCCTTCTTGAAAAACCCCATGCTGTAGTCTCGTGAGAAGCATGTAAATGTTGGCATGTAATGCCATGTCAATAATGCCAACATTTAAAATCTATTTTTTTAATTATTAGAGTCCAGAGCCTCTCTATCTACCTTATTTTATAACTAGTTGTACCCGCGGCTTCGTTTGCAAATAGCGCAAACGATGCCGCGTTAAAATTATGTCATTAAAATTATATTAAATTATACTCTAAACTATTTACATTATTATTATTTTTATATGTTAGTAAAAAAAATATAGGGGTTGTTCCTACACTTAGTTATAAATATAAGTCGACAGTTTGGTAAACAATCGACTTATATTTATAACGCTGTAAATAAAATTCTTAACATCTACCCTATGAATCTTTATACCTGTAAAAAAGTTTTAACAAAATGGCTAAAATCTAAAAACTATAACGAAATTGAAGCTATTTTGTATAGTTCTGGATGACAGCATGGTCTATGGGCAATTGGACTGTAGTCTTGAGGAATGTAGTCACAATGTAATATATATATACAATGATTATAATATTTTAATAAACATACATTTGCACCCAACACCCTTCCACACTTACATATACATACACACACACACACACACACACACACACACACACACACACACACACACACACAGTCTTTTACAGTACAAACAGAAACAAATTCTTAATATAATAATAAATAACCCTAGAAGAGCGTGATCTCCTATCACAAGTGTTTAATTATGCTTACAAGGAGATCCCAGCCCCGGCTTAAGGAAATATATAAATAAGAATAAGTGATCGTTGTAATGTAAAAAAAAAAAAAATTGTAAAACATCTATGTCAATGAAATAAATAAATTATAAAAAAATTAATTATAAATTATTATTATACTAACTACTCGCCCAGGCTTCACCCGGATGTACATGTATTATATATATAAATCTTCCTCTAGAATCACTCTCATCATCATCATTGCCTTGCCTTTATCCCATTATTTGGGGTCGGCGCAGTATGTCATTCTCTTCCACTGCTCTCTATCAGTCGTCATATCTAAACATACTCTTCTTTTATTCATATCATCTTTCACACAATCCATCCATCTTTTCTTAGGGCGTCCCCTCCCTTTACATCCATCCACATTCATATTATACACCTCTAGAATCACTCTATCTATTAAAAAAACCGCTTCAAAATCCGTTGCGTAGTTTTAAAGATTTATCATACATAGGGACAGACAGCGACAGCGACTTTGTTTTATACTATGTAATGATACTACCTGTGCCGGTTTCACCTGCGCGGAATTTATAGCCTATATGTTATTCTGATATATAAGCTATGTTACTGTAAAGTTTCATCAAAATGCGTTCAGTAGTTTTTGCGTGAAAGAGTAACAAACATCCATACGTACAAACTTTCGAGTTTATAATATTATTAAGATTTCTTTTTTCTACTTACTTACAACTAATAATATATACATGATAGTGACTAAGTGCTTTTATATTCAAATTAGTTTCACGCAACTGTTATAATGCAACTAAAAACTATATTTCCTTCGTCGTAACCCTACCGTTAAATGAAACTCTTTCCTAAAAGCATGGGCATACAGTCGACATTGGCTTGTACGAAATAATTTTCTCAATATTGTATAATTTTCATACCATTTGATGCATATTAAAAGGTTAAAGGGGAAAAATGAGAAATTACTCTCTGGTGAGATAGGAATTTTGAGCACGGCTATTCAGTTTTAAATTAAACGGCCGAGGAATGACGTCATTTAGCAATAATCTAATATATTTTTTAAATTAAACTCATTATTTTTGTTTAGATAGATAGATAGAAGATAGAATATACTTTATTTGCAACGTACAGTAAAGAAGAAGAACAAACAATATAACAAAGGACACATGTATCGTTACAATAAGGCGGATTGTCATACTTAAACTCAAAATTATTTATTAACTACCTAACAGCCCTGGCTCCGCACAGATGTACATGTAATATTCATATAAAGCTTCCTCTTGAATCACTCTATGTATTGCTAAAAACTGCATTAAAATGCGTTGTGTAGTTTAAAAGATCTAAACGAACAGATAGCGGAAGCAACTTTATTTTATATTATACTAGCTACATGCCCCAGCTTCGCCCGGGTGTACATGTATTATATATATAAACCTTCCTCTTGAATCACTCTATCTGTTAGAAAACCGCTTCAAAATCCGTTGCGTGGTTTTAAAGATTTAAGCATACATCGGGACGGACAGACAGCGAC